GCTGCAGAATGTCATGTTGGGGCCAGTGGTCCTACTGCAGTTGGAGGTTGTGTTGATGTGCATGGTCACTGTTGTGGAGGTGCAGGTGTGTGACCCGTATTGCTGCTTGGTCATGTTAATGTCTGTGGCCTGTGCTGCTGCCAAGGTCCATGTTGGGCCCTTGCTGCCACTGGGGGTCATGTTGATGTTCATGGTCCATGCTGCCAATGAGGCTATGTGGGGGTTGGGGTTGATGTTGGTGGCCAGTAATACCACTGAAGGCCAGGTGAATGTCCATGATCTGTGCTGCAACCAAGGGCCATGACTGTATCTGTGGTCCATGAAGCAGCTGAAGGTTGTATTGATATCCATGGTCTGAATTGCCACCAGAGACCATGTTGAGGTCCATGGTCAGAGGCCATGGTCTGTGGTCTGTGTTCCTGAAGAAGCCAACATTGATATCCGTCATCTGTTACCACCAAAGGCAAAGTGAATGTCCATGGTTTATGCTGTTGCCTGAAGCAATGTGCATATCCATGGGCTGGACTGCAGCTGGGAACCATATTAGTGTCAGTGGCCCATGCCCCCAGAGGCCATGTTGATGTCTGTAGCATATGCTACCACTGAGGACCATGATGATGTCTATGGTCTGTGCCGTGGCAGAGGGCCATGTTGATGTCTGTGGTTTGTACCACCACCAGACAGCATTCTGAGGTCTGTGGTACATGCTGATACTGGAGGCTATGTGGATGTGCATGGTCTGTGCTGTGGCCAGAAACCATGTTGAAGTCTATGATCCATGCTCCTACTGACTGTAAAGGGCAAGGAAGCTACATTTGCAGTAGTAACAATGACTGCAGACTCACAGTTAAAGAAAGTATAGACAAATTCTAAATGGTCTTCTTAAATAAAAAAATTCAGAGCCAGAAATTGGGGTTAAAGCCTGAGAGAGATCAGAGGAATAGGAATAGCCACAGCTAACCTTACCTCACCAACTCTGCAACTTCCAAAAACGAGATATTTCCTGTCTACCCACACCTATATGCCTTGCTGTTTTGCCATCTGATTTGCTCTCTCTGTCCAGCTACATCACTTCCTCTTCCTGCCCAGCTCTGTCACTTCCCAACTGTCTGTACAGACCTCTACACCACCATGGTTAACTAGAGTTGGAATTTAAGCTGTGTGCCACCACGCCTGGCTCTGTTCCCAGTGTGACCTTGAACTCACATAGATTCAGACAGATCCCTGCCTCCCAAGTGATAGGATTAAAGGAGTGTGCTAACATTGCATGACTTTCATGTTTACTTATAATGAATGGCTTTTTCCTCTGATCTCCAGGCAACTTTTATTTTATTAGAGCACAAATAAAATATCACCACATTGCCCCCTTTTTTGTCTAAAATAAAACATAAAAAAGTTATAACTAATATAACAAAACTATATATAATAAGTACAATAACTACATACAATATATACAAGCAATAAATACATCAACAATGTCTAGTCCATTTGCATTTGACAAATTCAGAGAAAATATTCCATTATCTATCCTACTTTAGTGAGTCCAAAATGTACCTAATTCACTTTCTATCCTACCTTGTATTACCAACAGAAAACTATCTTATGATGTCTTTCAGTATTATACACTTAACATCTCTTAGTGAGTTTCTTTTGTGAATTTCTTAACAAGGAAAACTGTAACTACAGCTGTCTAATAGTCAACTCCCTCAGAGACCTGAGGAGGAAATAATATTGTCTAGAAAACAGGAAGTGCAAACAAATCACTTCCAAAAAATGTGAGTTATGACAGAAACAGCCAGCTTCCTGGACAGTCATCCAAGATTTCTCTGAACGTTGGGGCATCATCTTTGGCCTACAGGCTTAGCATATCTGACAGACTCATTGTGAAGTAGGATGGACACAAGACCTACATCTCGACCTCACATTCAGTGCGAGCATTCCATGTACCAGATAAACTTGAATTCAGGATTTTGAATTCTGGACATTGCTAGTATTGTTGGAATTTGGCTGCCCATTCTTCTCAGCTTGTGGGTGGCATCATCTCAGCAAGAAAGAGAGATACAGGCTTCTGTGACAACTTCTACTCCCATCTCCTACCCACAAAAAGCAACAGCCTAGACAGGAAGCCATCAAAGAGAATTCCTAGAAATTGTGGTAAGGATGTTGAAGTGTAGCTTTTCACAGCTGATGGCTTCTGGCAGGGGTGTGGGTGAAGAAGGACTCAGTTTTCTTTAATGGCTGGTCACTGGAGTTTGACCATGCTCCAGTGAGTATATGGGCAACACGTATCAGACCTTTTTTCTCCTTTTTTTTGAGGGGAAGGACACAAGAGGGGATAAACCTGGAAGGACTGGGAAGTGAGTGTGAGATCAAGGTGCATTATATGAAATTCCCAAATAACATTATGTTGGAAAAAAACAAGATATTGCTATGTTTCAGTCAAAATTAGTAAGCCATCTCTTCTATAGGATAAAGTTACACTATAATCTTGTTAAACATATGCATATATCTGTATTCAGTTAGTTCCTGAAATTTCGTCTTCCAAATATTTTAAGTAAGAGTACAAGTACTGTGGAAATTTGACCTACTTAAAAGGTCATGTTAGAGAAAATCAGTACTTTATAAAGTTCCTATAAAACCATGCAAGGACAACAAGTCACAGCACACACAAGCATATTTATGACTTTCTGCACCAAGGCTGTCACATTTGTAACCTTTAGTGAGTCATTTAATGTTTCCCATCTGGACTTGGTTGCAGCTACCTCACGATGGGTCATTCTCAGCCAGGGTGGTCTTTGACTGATAGAAGTTAAGAATAACTAATCCTCTGGGTAACTGTGTAAAGGGCTGTCAGATGAAAGGCCACTGCTGAGCAAGACCAGGTTATTACCATATCAGACCTTGCTGTCTTCCAGAGAAGGATCTACAACAGTTATACTTTTGGTTATGAATGAGTTTATCAAGTATACAATAAGCCAAATATAATACAGAGAGAGAGGAGGGGGAGAGAGAATCAAATTGGGCTCTAAAAACCTGCAGCAGAAATCAACTGAAGAAGCCTCGTTAAGTCAAGTAACTGAATGTCCTGATAGGGACTCCTGGGCAGAACAGAGTCCCCTTGGGCAGGGCGTCCAAGTATAAGGACAAGTAACACCAGGAAAGTAGTATCATCAAATTGAGAGCTTATAGACATCCAGAAGAAACTGACTAGGGAAACTGAGGTCATCAGCAGCAGTTTCTAATCTTTCCCCCTCAGGCATTTTTATAACACAGGATAAAGAGCAGTAATCCTGTTGGAAGTGGTTTAGCTCTAGCTATTTTAATAAAAAGATAGTTTTACTCCTGGGCTATTTTGCTCTCCCCCTTCTCTGTCACAGAGTTAGGGCAGGAATCTTTCTCCAGCCAAAGGACCTTGGACGATAGCCACTGTTTAATGTAAGTCTGCTCAAGATGCTTAGAACTTAAGAGGAAGGTATGCATGAAAGGAGTACTTTCCCTAATAGCATTAGAAATCATAGAATAACTGGTGACAACAGTGTGATCTTTATTGGCTCACAGGAATGAAAAGGCCAGACACGGCTCTGACTGTACACTAAGACTGGCCCAGTTTGTTAGCAAGATGCTATCAGCAGCCCTTGGACTTGGCAATTGACTGTTCCTCTCATGCAGGAAAGAACACTTCTAACCTTGTTAGCATTCCTTACAAGAGTCCAAGAACCTCAGAATCACTCAGACCTGGACTAGGTTCAATAATATTTCAGCCACAAATATGATGCTCTTGGCCAGAGGTGACAGGCCATGTTCTATCACTAGAGCCAGGACTTCTCTATTGCTGCATGGACCACTAAATAGAAACAAAGCCAAATGGAATATCCCTTTTACTAAGAAGGCAAGGGACAAGAGTCCTCATTTTGTTAAAGAGCTCTCTTTCCGTATTTCATTTTGGATAAACTGAGGGAAAATTCAGTGCAGATCAGCATATTAAGCTATCATTTATATAAAGAAAAGGGGAGTGCATATAAATAAATATATCATACATAGTGATAAAAATTTGTTGGAATAGAAATAGCTAATTTCAGTTTGGGAATTGGGGGACTTTCCACCAGACATCTTACATAAATTTTAATTTGTGAACTGTATGCATGCTAACTGCCCCAAAGGCACCACCAAAGAAAGAAAAACACTATATAAAACCTGGGACAGGAAAACATCAATAAAATGATGGAACCCTGAAAAGGAGAGAGAATTCAAGTTCACCCAAAGGGCAACTTTTGGATTTCCCTCACTTTTTCATTTCTATCAAGAGATTATCACTCTTGAGTTTATCACATTGTAATACTGACATTACTTTACATAACAACAAATACATGTGAATTTTCTCTGGTTAACCTGGTTCCCTTCCACTGTGATCAAATCCATTGAAACATTAGCCGAGAGTTCCACAGAGTATAGTTTCATGGCCAATGCCCTCTCCGGGTACTAGTAAAGGTATCTTAACTCTTTCAATCATCATAAAATCTTTGTGAGGGAGATATTGTCCTCATTTTTATAAATATGAAATTAGAGTAATGGGATGCTATTTTACATCCAGGCACTGTGGCGCCAGTTTTTTCTACAACTGCCCACATGCCAATTATAGTTCAACTTCTACTTAAAGAGCACAGATTATCTGCTTCTTATGGATAACTCATGGATATTAATTTTTCTTTTAAAAATTGTGTGTGTGTATGTGCATGCATGCACACGTGCTCATACTCTGCTATCTAGGTACTAATGCATAAAGGTACAATTTCTAGTATCATGGTTAATTTAACTCAGTTTCTAATTAGATGAAGAGTAGGGCATAGTTCATACTTACCAAGAGCCTTGAGGAACTGAAGACTAAAAGCACATCAGTAATTTTGGAAACATGTTCAAAATCCAGAGGGTTGTTAATTTTGCTACCATTAATTAAGAGGGAATTTTATCAAATTCTAAGTTCTATTTTTATTGCTTTTTAGGATTTCATCAAAGGTCTTTCCATTTTGCTTCGAGGGACAGTACAAGAAAAACTCAACTGGGCATTCAATTTGTATGACATAAACAAAGATGGCTACATCACTAAAGAAGTAAGACATGGCACACTGATTTAGCTATCCTCCGAGATAGTTTTGATTTGCTTCAAAATATTAAACAATTTCAATGATTACTTTAAAAATCACATTTTAGGATATCAAAAATATTTTGTGTGATGCTGGTAGAAATGGGCTACATCCTAATAAAAAATGCAACAGAAAGGACTCATTTGTAGTAAATCTCCAAAGAAAACACAAAACATATTATTATATCTCCTTCTTCCTGTTGATAATATGGAAAAAATGGGGATCCTTGGGAATGGCAGAGTCCTCCTCATGTCAGGTGGACAATAGTTTGGGGGGCAAGGTTCCCAGAAAGTCAACAGCCACCAAAGCTATAGCACCCAATGGCTGCCAGGTATTTCTCTTTGTTAGGAGTGGATCAGGACAATGGTGGGCTCAACAGAAACAATTGGAAGTAAGCTGACAATGAAAGACATTCACAAATTAAAATGCTGGTTTATTGATTTAAAACAGCAGGAGAAAAGGCAAGAAATAAGGGATGAGGGAAGGTAGCCACCCTTAGTGTAGGATGCTAATAAGACTGAAAGAGCATTCTGCTGGAAGTCTGGGCATAGTTAATGGTCATAAGGCCTGTGTTTCTCTCTGCATTAATATCTTCCCCAGAGTGAAGTTTTGAACAAATGGTCCCATTTGAGAAAAAGTACTCAGGACCAGTGACATGAACATGCCTTATGGGATACACAGACTCATTGTACCAGGACACCACTGCTTTATTAATCATTGGTTGTCTCTTGGGCTGAGGATACATGGTGTTAGGTTAGGTGTCATCAAGGAGTGCTAAATTTAAGCCTTCATGAATAGATGCACTTCTTGTATATTTGGTATAGCATTTGGTATATTCATTGCCTAGGTACCTCAAGGTCACTGAGGAACCTAGAGAACGTTAATAATCTTAGTACTTCCCATTTGAACTATTTTTTTTTGTTTTCATCAATACTGAGAACTGAATACAGTGCTAATGTTCTATCCCTTTTTGTGTTTAATACAGCTCATCAATTCTGCCTACATCTTACTTATGTCTTATACTTACCTATGTTAGAAACATCTTTTAAAGTTTCACTCATTTTTACAAACTGCTTTATCATGTAATCCATACTCTCAAAAGTAAATATAAATAGAACTGTATCCTCTGCTTAATCTAGGATGGGTTTTATGTCAAATAGTAAATGTGAATATTTAAGTAATTAGATATTATTTTCCCTTTTATAAAATTAAAATGGCATGGCAAAAAATAGTTTTTACTTTAAAAGCTAAGGAAATGTTAAGGTGCTTTCTAGTCAAAGTATTTGAATTCATATTCTTGTGTGACTTCTTCAGTTAAAGCCAAAATAAGAAAAAGTGATTTAAAAAAATTCCAAGAACTTTTACTAATTTGTTGTAATTAATAGTTTTAGTTCTAAATGTAAAACATTTCTAATAAGTAGAAATCAATAAAAGTGTACTAGTTCAGTAAAACAAAGTCTCTACATGTTTGGAGAATTAAAGCATTAAATCAGACTATTCCTTTCCCAGTCAAGTGAGATAAATGGGAATCTACTTCATTTCAAAACTGAAATCTCAGTTGATTGCTACCTTTGGATTCTACTGCTTTGGGAGCTGTTTGTTTGCTTCTGACAAACCAAAAGGTACCTCATAGAGAACTTAAGAAACAAACAAGCAAATGGACCACTGTGAACAGAGTCTCCTAATGCATCTTAGATGGGCTTCGTCACACTTGGTGTGCAGCCTCACATGAATGCCTTTCCATTTCAGGAAATGCTGGACATAATGAAAGCAATATATGACATGATGGGGAAATGCACATACCCTGTCCTCAAGGAAGATGCTCCCCGACAGCATGTGGAGACATTTTTCCAGGTGGGAATGAAAGATGGGAGGGAGGAAGGGAGGGAGAGAGTGAGGGAAGGAGGGAGGGAGGGAGGGAAGGATGGCAGTTATGAATAGATTTATTGATACTTGCAAAGCACCTTGAAGAAAAAAATGGCAAGGAGAATGTTTACTTACAAGGGACAGAACAATAGGACACATACTATCTTAATTTCATAATTTGGGCTTTTGAATTTGTTATTAAAGACAATTGCAATTCCATAAGTCACTATATCCTGAATAAGCTATTCTCTTATTTCATAAGTGTTGTCATGCAGTTCCTGTTAATAGTAACAAATTCTTGATACTACTCTCCCATTTTATAGATGAAAAAATCAAGACTGTACATTTCCATGAACTGTAGGAATCCTGTAATATTTAGAAAACAGTTTAAGTGACTCATGCTTCAGATTATATGGAAAAGGATACAACCTAGGTTGATTTGGCCCCACCATTGTAGGATGTCACTAGTTCCTCCTAGCACGGAATTGTCCCACAGAACATATGATGTGCTACATTCTTATCTGTTTCAACCTATTGGGTACGGGGAGGCAATCAAAAGGCAATCCAATACAATGCTTTGTTCTTTTCTTTCTCAACAGAAGATGGACAAAAATAAGGATGGTGTTGTTACCATAGATGAGTTCATTGAAAGTTGCCAAAAAGTAAGTAAGGAAAAGAACTATCCCTTTTGTTAGCATCAGCTACAGTGAGCACAGCCAATATGAACTGAGCAAAATAGAAATCCAGTGCATAAGCTTAGCAAGATAAGGAGACAAACTTCTCACCTGAAAACAAGCAGATTTATTTGCACATCCAATGTGATAGCATGCCTATCCTGAGGCAAAAATTACACGTGCACTCCCTTTGTTTGTGGAAACCTTCAGAGGCTACTCACTACTGATAAACAAAAACATAGATGCTGGGTGGGTGGTGGTAGCGGTGCACGTATTTAATCCCAGCACTCAGGAGGCAGAGCTGGAAGATCTCTAAGAGCTCAAGGCCAGCCTGGTCTACAGAGTGATTTCAAGCACAGCCAAGGCTACATAGAGAAACCCTGTCTAGAAAAACAACAAACAAACAAAAAGCAAAAACATAGATTTAAATTACTGTTTCTGAAGCTGGAGAGGTGGCTCGGTGGTTAAAAGTACTTGCTGCTCCTCTTAGAGTACTTGAGTTCTGTTCCCAGCTCCCAAATCAGGAATCTCACAGCTCCATGGAATCTGACACCCTCCTCTGGACTCTGCAGGCACCTACATGCTTGTGTTCACATACCCACATGCAGATATATACACATATATACATAATGAAAAAATGAAACTTTACTTTTTCCAAGACATAGTTCATTTAAAATGCTATGTTTATTTATTGTGTCATCATAGAATTAGAAATCTAGTGCCCCAAACTATGGAAGTTTGTATTGGTCTTTTTATTTTTTTATTAAGGAATTTTTTTCATTCATTTTACACACCAAAGATCCCCCTCTTCCCTCCTCCCACCCCTGCCAACCTCCCCTCCCAACCCATTCCCCACTCCCTCCCACAAGAAGGCAAGGCTTCCCATGTGGAGGAACATTCAGTAGAGGCAAGTCCAAGCCCTTCCCACTGCCTCAAGGCTGCACAAGGTGTCTCATCTAGGTAGTGGGCTCCACAAAGCCCACTCATGCACCAGAGATGGATTCTGATAGCCAGGGGGCCTCCCAAGCAGATCAAACTACACAACTGTCTCACCATGCAGAGGGCCTAGCCCAGTCCCATGTAGGCTCCACAGCAATTGATTCAACATTCATGAGTTGCCACTAGTTTGGTTTGTTCATCCCTGCATGTTTCCCCATCATGATCCTGATGCACTTGCTCATAGAATCCCTCTCCTCTCTCTTTGACCGGACACCTGGAGCTCTGTCTAGTGATTGGCTGTGGATCTCTGCATCTGCCTCCATCAGTCATTGGAGAAAAGTTTTGTGATGACAGTTAGGGTATTCACCGGTCTGATCTCTGGGGCAAGCCAGTTCAGTTAATTTAAAATTGTATGTATGTTGTGAGGAAGGAACATGCCATGGCACACATTTGGAGGTTAGAGACAACTTGCAAGAGTTCGTTCTTTGCTGGGCGGTGGTGACACACGCCTTTAATCCCAGCACTCAAGAGGTAGAGGCAGGCGGATCTCTGTGAGTTCGAGGCCAGCCTGGGCTACAGAGTGAGTTCCAGGAAAGGCGCAAAGCTACACAGAGAAACCCTGTCTTGAGAAAACAAACAACAACAAAACAACAACAACAACAACAACAAAAAGAGTTGGTTCTTTCTTTTCCCATTGTGAGTTTCAGGGATCGAATTCAGGTCCTCTACAAAGTATCATTGATTTAATATACATGGACAAAAAGTAGCATTTTGGCTGAACCCAATAATTGTCCCCACTTATAGAACTAAAGAGAGAAAAGTTCTTAGAGAAATCTAGTAGTTACGTGTTGCCTGGAAATCTAGACTTAGCTCACCTAGAGTCATTCAACTCCATGCACGAGTAGAGCTATAATTATAAATAAACATGGACACATATTTGCTGGGGTTTTCCCCTCTTTTAATGGTTCAATTTCAACTTTCCTGATGCCCGCTTGCTTCTCAACTCAACTCTCAAAGTCAACATCTCTGGAAGATATAAAGTGGTGACATCGACCCACTTAGTGGTGACATAACTCAGTTGGGGGAGTGGCACCACCAGTGCTCCAGCTGTGACTCACCCCCAATCCACATGGCTCACTGCCAGTGTTTACCAACAGTGCAGACGTGCCCCTCAACAGCCCAGTCTGTCAGTGTAGCTCATTTCTAAGGAACAGGCTAAGCCGAGCCCAGCCACTGTACAATGGTTTCTCCTCACCAATCATTTCTCTGGCATTCAGAATCGATTCAGTTTTAAAGACTCCCACAGGCCATACAGATTTAGCAATCACTAACAGCTAAAAAGGCAAAATGGCTGTAAGCATATTCATTATTCTGTCCTAGAACATGGATATTTGTAGACTTTCTGTGCTTTGGCTTACAATCTACCTAAAATGCCAAAGTTCCCATCTCTTCTGCTTGGATAATTTCTTGAAGCTCACCATTGAGGTTCTCTAAAGGAGGAAAACTGATACAATGGATATTATATATATATATATATATATATATATATATATGGAGAGAAAGGGGGTTACTAGATTGGCTTACAGAATGCAATTTCAGTAGTTTATGAATGGCTGTCTCACAATGGAGAGCCTGAGAATCTGTAGTTCTTCAGTTCACTGGCTGCATGTCTACACAGTCTCAATCTGGTGCTGGAGCACAAAAGACTACCGAGGAGCTGCCGACCTTCAATCTATGTGGAAATTTTGAAGAAGTTGATTCTAATATTAGCAAAGGAATACAATAACAATGGGATAGATCAACTAGCCAGCAGGAGTAAAAGCAAGCAGGCAAAAAGCAAAGTTTTCTTCTTCCATGTCCTTATACCACCCACATTTAAAGTGGTTCTTCCTGTTTCAAGTAATTTGATCCATTAAATCCATCCCAGGACTGCCCAGCAGCTTGTTTTAGTAGATCCCATGTGCAGTTAACAACCACCATTAGCCATCTCATTCATTGTTTTGATTCTGACATCATTTGAGAAATACCCTGGTCTAGTACCAATTAAGACCTAAATGAAATATCTAAAGGCATACTCAGGAAAGCATAAAATGGAACCTTGTGTTTATCTGTACAGAATGGAGAACAGACACATTGGCCCACACAGAGCAGCAGAGGAAGGGCAAAAGCCATACTTAGGGGGTACAGCAGTACTTTCCATTATAAACACAGCAGATAAACTCCTTCTGTTTCTCCCTTACAGGATGAAAACATAATGCGCTCCATGCAGCTCTTTGAGAACGTGATCTAACATGTCAGCGCATCCTCGCTGAAGAGGGAATGTGAACCTCTCTACACACTTACAAGTTGGAGCCACCCCTTCTAGCATAGATTGCTCAGCTTTACACTGAGGCATATTATGCAAACAGCTTTGATTTAATATAAAATAACCCCTCCTAAAAAGATTTAAGTTTTCCAGTTCCAAGTCTGCATCTTCTCCACAACATCAATGGGGTCATGAAATGTGTTCACTCGTTTCAGACTCTGAGAATATTCAAAAGGCACAGAATCTGGAATAGTTTTGATCCTTAGTCACGTATTACTGAGGCTTTCACAGTTCAGTGATTTTAAAACACAAGTGGGTCTTCCTACTCCTTTGTATATGTTCAGTCCTGGATTTTAAATGGTTTTCTAAGATATTTACATCTGCAATTACTTTCTAGAAAGTCAATGAACTTTCATTTAATTAGAATCACCTGCCACTGAAAAATGAATAAAGATTATTGAAATTTAAAAAAGACCAAAAACACAGTCCCAATTTCTATGGCTTCTCCACCTGCTGTTAAAGTCATTAATGTATTTGGCATTTTTTAAAGAACATCTAAAAAATTAGTTTATTATCAGATGTTAGCATATACCTAAGAAAATTATTTTAGTATTTGTTAATTTTCCATATTAAAGCCAAGGCTCTACATAATCCACGTACCTTTGGACCTGTTTGATCTTACATGTAAACTGTTTTGTATTGTGTCATGAAATAGAAATTCAAAGTGTCATACAAACCAAGGATGTTTACAGACTTGCAAAGGGTCCGGATGTCTGTCCTCCAAAACCTAGTGATACTTATTAGCAAGCAACCCTAACAGCAGTAAAGAGCAATTCTAGCCACCCCCAAATTCCCTAATGTTCTCACAGCATGTTTATTATAAGCCATTCAGGGACAGAGAATCCTTGACTGCCCCAAAGGCACCAAGAATGAATATCAAGCAAAATATTCTTTGAAAACACCAGTGATTCTATCATATTGGAAATTACACATAAGACTGTATAGAAAATGATTACAAACATTAAACAGTTCATCTGAATTGCATTATGATTTAGCTCATCATAGAACTTAAAGGATTCAGATTCATTTCCGTGATCTTAAGCCAAAACTGTAGAGTTGCCACAGCAGTACTATAGATACACACACCTTTCCTTGTGTAGAAATATCACAAGTACCAAGAGGATACAGGAGGAGAAAATTTGCGACTGTCTGCAACAATAAATCAGGTATCTATTCTGGTGTAGAGATAGGATGTTGAAAGCTGCCCTGCCATCACCAGTGTAGGAATTAAGAGTAGTACAGTACATGTACACTGAAATCTGCCATCGCGTGTTTGTGTAAACTCAATGTGCACATTTTGTATCTCAAAAGGGAAAATAAAAGCAAAATAAAGTGTTTATTACTCTACTGTGTCTGCCATGGGTCTTTATGTTCTAGCAAGTTTTAAACTCAATTACTAGATTTAGACTGTCACTTTCTTTGGGTAGTGCTGCCTACAGAGAAAACGCAAAGCAAGACAGAGGTCAGGCAGCTGCTATAGCAAGCAAGGTCTGAGAATGTGACAAGGTACTATAGATCTGAGGAAAGGGAGGACCCAGGACCCAGAAGCAAAAGCCCTGGTGGAGGATGGGCAGGTCTGTAGTATGGTGACTCAGCAACTGCTTGTATTCCTTCAATTGAAAGCTGTGCAACTATCTAAAATAAGAATTGCCAAGGGGTCAACCAGATGTCTGTGGGAAGAGAACAAGGGGAGTGCATCATCTAGCCAGTGTTTAGAAGGCATGTAGCTGCTGCCACACAACACAATGACTGCCTGTCCCCATGCTTTCCAGTGTGTGGCTATGGTTAGGATTTGGTGTGGCTTTCCAAGTTCCTGCAGCCTCTATCCTGCCAGGCCGACTGAAAGTCTTACTCCCATTTTTCTACTGCTCTTACTCTACTCCTTCTTCTTGCAGAATCATCTAGAAGTTTCTAACTCATTAGAAACTCTGGGAAGTACCCCTAAATTATGTCTTAAAAAACCAAGTAACTGAAACACAAATAAGTATTACAATATCACTGAGTACATGTAAAAGACTTTAATTTCTGAATATCTGCATATGTACATCATCAGTATTTTCAGGCTATAAAATGTAAAAGTAATATTTACTTAAATAAAGTTTAGGTAGTTTTAACAAGTTGTAATAAACAATATACTTGTAATAGAATTTTCACATTTAGAACAAGGTTTTTAAACTGGAATATTCAGGAGGGAAAAGATGTTCCCAAGCATTCCACATTATAAAATACATATTTGCACATACCAGCTAATAGTGAAGTCACAAATATATACTTGCTATCTTAAATTTTTACAGTCTTGATAAATATAAAAACCAAATGGCCAAAGCCAACCTATAAAATAAGTGCGCAGCTACAAAGTGATCTTAGAAAGGCTGTAAGTAAAAATATATTGGAAAATAATCACATAGATATGATCCGTAAATTCACACAGATGACCACGATGCAAAACCCTCACGGAATTCACCTTTTTCACCAGCACTTTAATTGCTTTCCACTAGCACCCGTGCGATTTGTTGACAAACGGCTTCCACAATGAGCTCTCTAGAATGACACGGTCCTGGGAGCCCAGTTAATGAATGAACGGTGCTGGGAGTCAGGGTGACCCCAACTCAGCAGAGGCCCACTGCAGCCACTGTCAGTGCCTGAGGAAGTAGCCTGGCTTTTGCTGGCTCCCTTATTCAACAGCAGATAGAGCAGTAGGTTGGGATTTTGGATTTGATGACAATAAGACTTCCCTGTCAACAGAAGAAAACATTGTCATTCGAACACAGTCACCCAGTAGGCACTACACTTACAAGTGTTGCTTAGTAAGTATCCAAGACCCAAACAAAAGGAATACAAAGGGCACGACCCAAATTACAGAATAAACAGAACACTTTTCTGAGGGAAATAAAACAGATAACAACCTTTAAGTATCTAAGAAGCAGTGAAAAGTCAGAGCAATATTTAAATGTATCTTCCCTGCACTCCACAAGTACACTGGGGTAATTACTTCTCTGCACCCAAAACCCTGACTTAAAGGAAGATACCAGCAAAGTCTAGCTCTGAGGCTCATACTGGAGACCAAATGAGTTTAATGCTCATGAGAACTCAGCAGAATACTTGTCACAGTTCTCACATACTCTAGAGAGGCAGGAAGTGCAGGGAGTTAGCCTTACCCAAGACAGATGCCCATGCTGCTGAGGACAAAAGTTAATTTGTCCTTTTGTAAATACTTTCATCTTAAGACTGGTATAGATCAGTTATAACAAAGTGTCTCTGTGCTGTAACAAATGTTTCCATTTGCCCAGTAGCTGAGCCTTCACATTATTATAATCTAGAAAAATCAAAAGTATAGGAAACTCCTATACTAAAAACTCTTGGTTTTTAATTTTATATTTTTTTTTATTTAATGTGTATGGTGTTTTGCCTGAATATATGTCTGTGTACCACATGTACAGAGTGTTCAAAGAGTCTAGAAGTGGGCACTGGATCTTCTGTGGCTGTGAGCCACCATATGCATGCTGGGAATGGACCCTGGGTCCCCTGGAAGAGGAAGCAGTATTCTTAAGCAGTAAGTCATCTCTCCAGCCCCAAGAATTTTTTTCTAAAGACTCATTAATACTGAAGAAGCTTAATATATGTTTTTAAGTTCTTAGAGAAAGAGGAGCATTCCTATATTCATGAAGGACAGCAAAATAGCTCCATTAAGCACTGCACTAGCCACGGTAGAAGAAAGGCACGACATTGATTCCAGTACAAAGCTTTAAAAAAAATTAGATTCATAAATTCATTAAGTGTATGAGGGTTTTGTCTTCATGTATGTCTCTGCACCATGTGCATGCCTGGTGCCTAAGGAGGCCATCAAAAGAATGTCCTGTCCCCTTGGAACTGGAGGGACAGGTGGTTGTGAGTCACCATGAAGGTGCAGAAAACTGAACCCAGGTTCTCTGCAAAAGGAACAAGTGCTTTTAACTGCCAAGCCATCTCTCTAGCCCCTACTAAACTTTCTTTTGCAATGACAGAAATTATTATTAAAATATAATGTAGGACACACAAGGAACAGTGAAGACTGGGGAATATTTAAGATCCCTTATAACCACAACCCCTTTTTCTTTTTAAATTCAGTATCTGCAATATCTAAAGCTAGTAAGACTGAGTAACAACAGAAGGAGCCCTCTCTCTCTAGGACCATAGACTGGCCAACTACAACATCTGCAGGCAAGATCCAAGCAACAATGTTAGGTTTCTGGAACATATCTATATTGTAACTTTCCCAATCTAACACACAGACATCCACAAATGTCACATGATGATCCTTTCTCTTTTTCCTGATCCATTCCCTAACACGGTTTCCTGAAGTTACAGATTAAAATTGACCTTCTGTTCACTTGCATTTCACAAGGGAGGAAAGGGCAATACATTTGGGATTCAGACTCTTGATGATCAAGTACATTTACCAGTAAGTACTTCATCAAAAATGGAGACACTGGTCTGGCTAGGGGCTGGTTCTGCACGTCCTCAGTGTCTGAATACAAATCTCCTGACTTGAACTTAAAGACAACAAAGAAATGCATGTTCTAACAGCCCTTTTGAGACTTAGTTCCTCTGCATAAACTTTAGGTGTTCATTGCAAAAACAATATACTCAATTTAAGGATTATTAACATAAGCAGAATCAGCTAATTAAGACATGGCCAGCAAAACATTGTACACAATCATATATATTTTCTTCTAATTAATTATTTAGAAAATATGGAAAATGAAGTTCTACATTGTTAGGCTAACTAGCTGAATACGTCTTTCAAATTATGAAAATGTAGTTAATTTTGCTGACATCATATAGTAATAAAATTCCCATATTCCTCCCCTTGAAAAGTTGGGAAAAAAATCAGATCAACTCTTGCAGAATGTATACACGCTATGCTAATGTGGAAATGGCATTTCCATGTACAAGGAGATTCTAAAACTCAGAAGAAGAAAACAAGGCAGATTAAAGGGGAATGGAGAACCAGGAGCACAGGGAGCTCAGGTAATACCTGCTTAGCACACATAAGGACCTGACGTTCCTTCCTAGTACAGCCAAGTACAGAAATAAATAACATACAATTTTTAAAAACTTTTTTTTGGGTTGGGCTAAGTTAGTCATCCTTCAACCTTTTCAAGGGTCAAAACAAAGTAAGTAAAATAGTTTAAAGAGAAAAACTAAGAGTACACTACCAAGACCACCTTTATTTACCCAGCCTGCTTCTACAAAAGCCATCTTAAAAACTATACCATCCCAGCCGGGCGGTGGTGGTGCACGGCTTTAATCTCAATACTCGGGAGGCAGAGGCAGGAGGATCCCTATGAGTTCGAGGTCAGCCTAGGTTACAGAGTAAGTTCCAGGAAAGGCTCCAATGCTACACAGAGAAATCCTGTCTCAAAAAAAAAAACCACAAACAAACAAACAACAACAAAAAACAATACCATCCCAAAAAACTAAGTTCTTAGTCTGAAAGATGACGGCCCAGATATTTTCAAATTAGACTTGCAGCTGTAATGAGTTAACATAAGCTAATCACATATGGATTCTCCGAATAGGACCGAAAGTCAATGTACAGAAGCAATGCTTGCTTACAGGTACAGCATTCTACTTACACTCCCGCCGTGCTGCTCCAGCTTTTGCAAGGCACTGGTGATGGGTTCTTTGAATTTTTTGTCCATTAGCCTCTTGGAAAGCTTTTGAAGATTGGAGGAGAGGGAATTCCAAAATAAATAAAGTTGCCATAAGCACAAATAACTTTCAAAGATGTCTTAATTAAGAACACAAAGTTTGTTTCAGTAATGTTTCACTAAAATTTACTTTATAGCAATATAACATTTGGTTGAAAGTTGAATTTATGTCCTTTCAAGCACTACCTATCCTACAATATCTGCTATGATAACACATTTTCTGGGGCTGGGGAAATGACCGACTTCAGTTCCCAAGACTCACAGAAATAGTTGGGCATGGTGCCTTATGTTTATAATTCCAGCACTGAGGTAGCAGAAAACAAAAGGCTCCTTGGGATTCACTGCCTGGACAATGCAACCTAATTGGTGAGCTCCAGCTAAATGGAAGACTCATTTTTCAGGAGGTGGACAATATTTCTGAAGACAACACTTGAGATGGTTCTCTACATTCCACATGTATGCATACATGCACACATAACCACACATGTACTCACACAGAAATAAAGTTTTCAAAAGCATGGCATACCTTTCCATTTTGTCACATGTAAGACCATGCAGAGAACTAAGACAGAAAGTCATACCTCCAAAGCAAGCACATGTTACCTAATAATAGGAGGGAACTAAGTAACAGTGACTGATGGAGGAATCAGACGAGAAACCACAGAACCACTTATCTCTGGTTACATCCTAAACAGACTCTAGCTAAAAACACAAGAAGTTTGCTTAAACGGGAGAGCATATGTGCAGGAAGACAGATGTGCAAGGCACTAGCAGAGAAGCAGTGCTTTGAAGGTAGTCGGGAACAAAGGTGCCAGTATTCCCATATAATACATGCATTTCTGTGGACAACAACCTAGATATTTCAGCTCCAATCAGCCATGCTCTCAGGTAAACATTCTGGAAACACAGTCAACATAGGTTTAATAGAATGATACTGAGCACTTTATATTATAAACCTCAAGTCAGCTTTGTAAGCTTAATCCATTAGGAAATATTGGAGAAGCCCTGTCTACTACTAAACTATTCTGTGACTCACTTAGTCTAATCTTGTTGCTCAGGATAAATAGTAACACTGACTGTCAAAGTGACCAGATAGAGAAACGCCCAAGTAGATAAAGCAAGCCTTTGGTTTGTCTTCCAGGGGAGGGTTTTCCAGAGAGTAAGTTCATGAGGCTCTACCCAAGGAGTGGACTTATCCTTGTTGGATTTTTCATGTGGTGGTGTTATTGAGAGGAAGCGAGAAGTGGGAGGTGGGGTTTAGTGGAGAAAGGTTACTGAGACCCCGAGCCCTTCCTATGTGCCCATCCATGTTTCATGTCCACTATGAAGTCACCTGTTCCGCACTCCCACATCCTTCCCGCCATGAAGGACCGACACCTGGAAAACTTTGAGACCAGACAAATTTTTCCTACGGTTCGGTTGTTTCTGCCAGGTATGTTATTATAATGACAAGAAAATGTCTTTTGACGGATTTGAGCTAGGCTAGTGGTTGATTTGAAGACTGGGGTTATGAGGACATATGCGCAGCTACTCTGCTCTCTGCGGTACTCACACTTGTAAGCAGATGTTTCAGATGGCCATTCAGAGATGGGCCAACGACCACACTTAGCTGTACGAGTGCAGCCAGTCCTCTTTCAAACACTTCATCATCAGAATGGACCTGTGGAGCCAGTGAAGAGGAAAATTAAAGCCAACACAACCCTCTGAAAGAGACTCTGGTTCTCTCATTCGGAACTTTTCCATGGCCCTTTGTGAGTAATTCTACTTTTTACTTTCAGAACGGACTTTCTAGTAGAATTAGTACACTTACATCTGAATGGGACTTGTTCATTGGTCTGAGGGTGTGGGGAGAGGTAAAGGGACAGAATGGGGAAAAGGGGAAGGGAAGATAGGTTAGGGAAAAGAGCAAGCAGGAGGGGGACAAGTGGGATTAAGCATTTAATCCTAGAAACTGCTCAACACACAGAATTGGGGGAGTAAGCTTTAATGCACTGTATCTAGAGGTAAGCAATTTCTACCAGAGAAGGGCAGTTACTAAGATTTAAGATTCATCTAGCACACAGAGCCCAAACAGAGTAACCTGAGGTTTTCTCCTCTAACTACCCAAAAGGTTTCCTTTTATTCCCAGGACCCCGAGACATCCTCTAAAGTGGTCCAATGCACAACTGTAGAACTCTGAGTAATCGTGGTTTGACATTGCACATACCTGAGAAACCCACAGCTAAAACACTAATCTGCATGTACTATGGGGAGGCAAGGAGCAGACAGTGTTCTCCTGGATCAGAGTTTTCATCCATATCATATAATTGGGAATAATGAAGTCTAGTGAAATCAATGACTTACCAGAGCTGCCTTCAGCACAGGGATGAGTCTAGGTAGCAAAGGTACAGCTTTTTCAGGAGCGCCCTGGACCAGAAGTAATTCCCTAAAGCCCTCCTTGGACACAAAGGTATAAGGATGCTTTGTCTCCCTCAGACCCTGCCAAAGACAATACAGACACAGAAACATGATTCATTCGCTATTCGCTACCTTTTTATTATGTTAATAACCACAAAACTCAATGCTCCTAACAGAAGTGAAGCTAGAGGTTCGCTAATGTCATTCTAATCACAATGAGCAAAATTTCAGCAATTATTTTTTATTATACCAAGAAATCATGTAACAAAAGATACAGGATGCAAAAGTCTCTACCCTCACATGGAATGAAAAAAGACCGACAGCAAGAAAAGGAAAATCAACAGAGTAACAAAATGGGAAGAAAAAACTAATGGGATAAAAAAGAAAAAGTTAAAAGAAAAATAAGGACAGATAAGTGGGAGAGAGGTGGAGGGAAAGGAAAACCTGATGAGAGAAGATAAAGAAGTCATCCAACACTGAGATCACTTCTTCCTAAGGGACACTGAAGGACAGCAAGGTGCCCACTGTGTGTTCTGTACTGGACCCTCAACGTGCTCAGTGAGTTCCTCCAATGGCTCTCCTCCTTCACATTTAAATACATTAAGATATTTAGAAAGGCAGTCCTGCGCTGGCTGGGACAGTGTCAGAACCGAAATCTGCTGCTCACAGAGGGACATAACCGGAAAACACAATCTGTGTACAGCACTGTTCATGGTGCCCTTCCTCCCAAGTGTCTTAGAAAAGAGTGGTCTGTACAGAGATCCACGGCCAGGCACCAGGCTGAGTTCCAGGAATCCAACTGATGAGAGAGAGGAGAGATACTGCAGGAGAGGGACATCAAGATCAGGATGGGAGGATGTGCAGAGATGACGGACCACACTAGTGGAAACCCATGAACTGTGGACTGGTGGCTGTAGAGCCCCCATGGGACTGGACTAGGCCCTCTGGACATGGAAGATGGTTGTTTGGCTCGAACTGTTTGGGGGGCACCCAGGCAGGGGGATCAGGATCTGTCCCTGGTCTATGGGCAGGCTTCTGGTTAATCTGGTGCCTGTGGTGTGACACCTTGCACAGTCTTGGTGCAATGGGAAGGAGCTTGGACCTGCCTAGGCTCAATGAGCTGGGCTCTGCTGACTCCCCATGGGAGACCTCGATTTGGGGGATGTGGAGATGCAGGGTGGCTTGGGAAAGAGGGCTGGGGGGTGGGAAGAGGGAGGAGGGGGGTCTGTGGATAGCATGAGGAGTGAGTAATAAAAAAAAGAACATTAAAGAAAAAAGAAACTGCTTTTGGAAAAAAATTATAATAGTAATAGTCACGCTGTAAGGTGTGTTCTGGTATTCAAAACAGTATTTGAGACAAACTACTTATTCACTAAATATTTGTATGCCCTAAAAACTAAAAAAAAAAAAAGAAAAAGAAAAGAGTAGTCTGTACTCATGACTTAGCAGCCATTACTAGAGGACAAAGAATGACATCTGACATTTGAATAAGATCCAACAAAGCAAAGAGAAAGTCAAGAGCAATGTCCTGGATCTCTCCATGAAGCAGGTTTAAACATGCAGCAAAGCCATGTCACAAAGGCCAACTTCCAATAGTCTGTCAATCGGACCTGAGTATCTGCTTCCAAATAGTGGTCAAATGGCCCCTTCCCACTGTCCTACCATGCTTTCTACAACAAAAGCAACAACATGCAAATCATTCTCTAAGAGGTTCAGTGCCTGTCCTAACAGTACCTGGGTCTTACTCATTTTCGAGATGGAAAATCGAAAGTCAAAGCTGAAATGGATCTCAAAAGTGGTCTGTCTATACTCCTTCCCCATTACTAAGAGAGTAGGAGAGACAGGAAACTGCTGCCTAGTACCGAAATTCATTTAACGGTGCTGGACCACAGGTATACACACAGGACTGATCTTGGCCACTGAGATGGTGTGGCAGGTAAAGGCAATTCCACCTAAGCCTGACACCTGAGTTCGATCCCTGCTCCCATATGGTGCAAGGAGAGAAGTGTCCTCTGACTCCTAAACCCACTCCACGGCACAACCACACTTACATACTCACATAACAAAAAACCACCAAATGTTTTAGAAGGACTGATATTAATGAGGTGTAAAGGCAGAAGCCCTTTACTGACTTCACAGATTAAAGTACTTTGTACACTCTAATCATTTGGACTATGTAATGTATCGCTAGTTTTGATTAGTCTAAAGCATAGTTTGCTATTTTATATAAAAGATTTATGTCTAAAAAAAAACTAAGTATGATATACCGTCCATTTCATTTAGCTATAAATCCCTATTAGAATTTCATTTTTATAAGACTAGTCAAGCTATTTATTTTATATAAATATGTGTGTATGTGTGCACATGTGCACATGTATGCGTATAAAATGTCTTGTATATGTGCACACATACACACACACACACACACACACACACACACATATATATAACAATCACAATTACTTGCTTAGAGTACAATATTTTAGTGTCTCTTGCTTGATATTTATTTTTAAAAGGATAGAATGAGATGTATTTATAAGGTAAAAATAACAATGAAATTTTAAAAATATTTTTTCTCTTGGCACTCAGGAGAGCTAGAATGTTTTACCTCAGCTAAAGTAATTAGAAGCGGATCAAATGGAAGAATTTCAGGCGGGCATTCCCACTGTAATCTGTGTTTTACTGAGCCATGTACCAATCTAAAATACAAAAGTCAGAAAAAGTAACAGGAACCCCATAAGCAAATGCAGGGAGCTTATCACACAATACTCTTGCAGGAACAGAGTCGCAGTAAAATTATTTTGTGATATACAGCAGTATTACTGTACTCATAGGACATGGACAATGTAAAGCAGGTAAACAATTCTTCATATTCCCGCATTATCCACCAAACTGTTTAGTAAGCTTGTATTGTAAAACTTTTAATTTACATTTTTATTTAAGCATGTCACTCTCTCAGAATCTTGATATACATGTTGCACCGATCTTTCTCAGACCCGATTATAACAAAATAGGTAACCTACAGAAAATGAAAACATGTAGTAATAAGAAAAGGTAAGGTTTACAGAGGACATTTTCATGGCCCAACACTGGTAACACTAATAATCTGAAGGCAAACCTGTTTTATTCCTTGTTAAAGAGAAAAAAACTATGGCTAGGAGGATGAAATGGCCTGTTGGAGGTTACAAGTGGTCCTGAGTTAAGGCCTCTCACTATCCCCCAGAGCCATTCCCGAACCATAACTGATGAGTTTACAATACAGCGCACTACGGTCCTGACGGTGAATAACAGGTCATTCCCAAACATCTTCTTGGTTTCACTTGGCTCTACGGCCTAACTTCTTCACTGCTACAGTCACAACAGCAAGTGGTCTCACCAAGGTATCAGTTTTTACATTTCAAGAAAATCTGAGTTACTCTGGGGAAAAGAACTTAGAAATTTAAAATCAGATAAAGCTTCAGTCTCAATGTGTGTGAGACATCGTCTCGTGTAGAACAGACTGGCCTCAAACCACTATGTAGCCATGGTGACGTTCCTCATGCTTCCCCATCCCAGTGCTGGGATTACAGGTATCAAGGACCATGCCAAGTTTATGGAGTGTTGGGAGATAGAACTCAGGGCTTTATACATGGTAGAAAGCACTGTATCAACTGAACTATACCCCTAACTCCTCAAATTAGAATCTAAGGATAAAATAGTAACAATAAATTCAGGAATGCTTTGTTGGCTTATTTTTCACTTCAAATTTGAAGATACCATTTTTAAAAAAATGCATTTTTGAAATTCCAGAACCAAACATAAAAATTGATGTTGTAGTTATCCCTTCTATAACATTAAAAATAAAATTCTACCCCATGAAGAACATGAAAAAAAGGCATCAAGAATTTTTCCAAAAAGAAGCAATAATAGCCATATATACTTATTATGAAATAATATTCCACTGTCAGTATTAACATAACAAACAATGTAGGGCTTTTTTATTTGCAACTTGCAAGAGCCTATGCATGCTTAAATTAGTTGTAACCAAAAGAGGTACACTCAGTTCAATTTAATTTCTGAAACTGTTTGGTGTTTTACTACAGATCTTAGTAATTACATACTGGAGTTGAGGTGATTTTTATCAACAACGTCCAGGGATTGATACCAATTCAACAGTCAGGGTAATAAGTCACCTTGATTTAAATCTCATTTGCAAGTAAATCTTCAACTAATATAAACTGAATCACATATTGATTTCACTCAACTATTTTGAAGCACACAGTCAGCTATGCATTGCATTGATTTTACCTGCAAGGAATGCCTCCTTTAGAGTAGATCGCCGCAAATGCAGAAGGGGCTCGTGACTGTTCACCGAACTGAAATTCAAAAACAACAACATCACCACTAACTCCAGTTCCTGATACCTTCCATTTTAATCCTGTTGAGATCAGAGGTTAAAACAAAACAAAACAAAATACCCTGACTTCCCAACCCCCACTATGTTACTTTGTGCACATCCGTGGCTCAGCCACATGACTGGAAAACACACACACACAAACACACACAAACACACGCAAAACCAAGCTGAGGAGTTATTTTTCATCAATCTCTAGTTTGGCTCAAAGCATTGCAGGTGGCTGGAACTGTACAGTGCAAAATATCTTTCCACTTTCTCTGCCAGTCTGAATCTTCAAAATGAGGGCTAAATAATTAGGGAATTGAGGATAGGAGAAGTAGAGATTTGCTACCCATCACTGTATGTCCCACATGTCCATCGGCCAAGCATAGATATGTAGAGACCAGGGAATCTATTTAACTTCTTCAAATTGAATTTATGCTTCTGTGCAACAAGGGATTAGGCTTGGTAGAGTCAAAGATCAGGACCCAGTCTTACAAACATATAACTGAATGCATCTTCCAGATTACAGAAGGGGTGCTAAGGACAGAGAGTACATTTATTTTTAGCCAGCATGGTATGTCCTGCATGCCCTTCGGCCAAGTATATATATGTAGAGGTCAGAGAATCTGTGTAACTTCTCCAAAATGGCTTTATACTTCTATTAAACAAAGGATTATATTATGATTTCTGGTGGACTGAATTTGTAGAACATAAAGGAATAGCTGGAGTTTTATGTGACTACAGTAGCACATGAATAATCAGTGTATAGCAACTGAATACAAGCTAGTTCACTGACATTAGGAAGCAGGATAGAAAATTAAAAAGCTGATATAAAATTAAGAATGTAACAAAATTAACATAACGAGCTCAAAACTAGCAAAAAGGAAATCCATGAGAGCATTCAGAATAGTTAAATTGTAATCAGCTAAATGCCTATTTCTTGAATAGTTAAACTGTAATCAGATAAAGGCCTATTTCTTGTGAAAATGTACTGCCTGAGGAATCTCTACTCACAGGGTTAATTGTTTTAGGGTTGAGTTTATCACTTGGCCGAGGATGAACCCTTCTTGCAGCCTCTGGAGAACTGGTTAATGAGGAGGATTTGCTCCGCTGACCTGTCATCCTGTGTTTCACTTGTGCACTTGAGGATGTCCTTTGATCATAATTACCTAGGGAGACAAAAAAATCAGATCAGTACAAAGGACAAATAAGTAAGAGAAACTCTCCCTAACACAGAACACAGACTGTATCATTAACAAACCTGGCCTCTCCCTTTGAAAACGCAAAGTTCTGTACCTGTTGCTCTGTTTCTCAACTGCACACCTCCAGGGTACTCCGATTTCTGCATGGCTTCCCTTTCACTCTTGCAGTTAATGAAATGATTTCAGAATCTGTTGATCTGCCATAAACACAAGACGAAAATGAATTTACAGGTGTGGGTACGGAGGCCCAAGCTTGCCATCTTTTTTTCAATAGCTTTCAACCTTATTTATTGAGGCAGAATCTTTCACCGAGTCCAGAGCTCCGCTTATTAGCTAATGTGGCTATAGTGAGCATCATGCAAGAGATTCCCTGTCTGTGTCTCCTAAGTGCTGAGATGAAAGACAGGCCACCACAACCACAAGGATTTTGGGAGGTCAGATTCTTTACCAGCTGAGCTATCTCCTCTGCCCTATTTTCTAATTTAAATGAGTTTAAAAGCCAACAAATCTCTTCATTTGAAAAGCTTTTAAAGTCTAGAAAATAGAGCTTCCAAGGTTTTTAAGTATTCCATGTAGTTTGTGTCATGTGTGTATTCACATATGCCTGTTAATGTGTGAAAGTAGGTGTGTCCATGGAGGCCAGAGGTTGGCATTAGGTATCTCTTGCTATGGCTCTCCACCATTTTGTGAACCAGGCTTTCTCACTGAACCTGGAGCTTATAGATTCTACTAGGCTGGTCTGCAAGCTCCTAGGATCTTTTAAAAATAATAGTTGCTTGATTTTTAGACAGGGTCTCATTATATAGTTCTGGGTGGCCTGTAGCTAGCTTTGTAGACCAGGTTGGACTTGAACTTAGAGATCTGCCTGCCGATGTTTCTGGAGTGCTGGGAGTGTTTAAAGGCATGTGAGAACATGCCTGGCAAAAATAATTATTTTTAAGGTATTTTTGTTTTTATTTACTTATTCTTCTCTCACACAATACATCCCAACTGGTCACCCCTCTCTCCACTCCTCCCAGTTCCGACTCATCACCACCACCACCACTACCACCTCCACTCTTCTCCAGATCTATTGCTCCTCTGTTTCCTTTCAGAAAAGAACAGGCCTCCCAGGGATATCAACGGAACATGGCATAACAAGATACAGTAAGAATAGGTACAATCTCTCATATGAGGACTGGACAAGGCAACCCCCGGAAGAGGAAAAGGGTCCCAAGAGCAGGCAAAAGAGTCAGAGACACCACCACTCCCACTCTTTGAAGTCCCACAAAAACCTCAAGCTAAACAACCACAACTAATATGCAGGGGACCTAGACAGAGTAAAACCATTCAAGCTCCGTAACTGCTGCTTTAGTCTCTGTGAGCCCTTATGAGCTCACTTAGTTGATTCTGTGGGCCATGTTCTCCTGGTGTCCTCAATCTCTCTGGCTCCTTACAATGCTTCCCCCCAACTTCTTTGGCAGGGATCCTAGAGCTCCGCCAAATGTTTAGTTGTGGGTCTCTGTATCTGCTCCCATCAGCTGCTGGAGGAAGCCTTTCTGATGATAACGGGGCTAGGCAGGGATGGCTAAGTGGTTGAGAGCACCGGCTGCTCTTTCAGAGGTCCTGAGTTTAATTTCCAGCAACCATATGGTGATTCACAACCACCTACAAAGGAATTTGATCCCCTTCTCTGGCATGCAGGAGCTTATGTATATGACAGAAGAGTTTATGTATAAGACAGAGCTTACATAAAATACATAAATATTTAAACAAAAAATTGTTAATGGTATCACTCTTTATTTTAAAAGATAGAGTAAATATGTTTGGTTAAAAATATATATCCACTGACAAGCACGGACTCACGTAGTTCGTGAAAGAAAAAAACCTTTCCCTCGCCTTTAGACTACTTTTTTCTTTAAATGACTTTAGGCGGGTGGTGTAAAGGGGTAGGGACAAGAAGAAATGAAGAGGTGAAAAACTTCGTTATAAATACTGTCCAAGTAACCCCTCGTTTCTTTCTTAGAACTCTAAGTAGACATCAGAATACAGAAGTCCATTAAATGTGGAACGCCTAAATTATGTCACAATGTCAGAAGGAAAAACAACGAACATAAGACAAATCCCCGGTCATTGAGACTCTGCCTAAAAGGGACTGGCGGCACCTGTATATGCTAGGAAACCACTGCATCTTTGTTTTACAAATACCAAATTTCAGTACCCACCTTCCCCAGTTTAAGACCACTGGACTAATAGTCCGTCATCTTTCTTCTACTCTCTAATTAGAAACCTAGAGAGTCCCAAAAAGTTCAAAAGGCGCTCAGCTAAAGCAGCTGCGTTCCGTCTGCAAAGGTCCTTCAAACCCCAAACGGACAACCCTAATTCCCTTTCTTATCACGAAGTAAAAATCTGCTTCCCATCACCAAACCCACCCACTTCGAAGCACCTAAGTTCACTTCAGCTCCAGGGTGTTGCTAAAGTTGAAAATGAGAAAGTGTGTAGACACCGCTAGAGGAAAGAAAGCTTTGAAAATTGGGAGACAGGGTGAGCGGACTTTAGAATCCTCAGTTAGAATACCCAGAGCTCCTCTGGTGTCCCTAGCAACAAGCTCCGGCGGCTCTAGCTACGGGACGCCAACCTGGAAGGCCCCCACGCCGAGACCCCGCCCTGTCGCCCGCGCCTACCGCCTGCCACGCCGCTCCGGCGCTCGCGCCGCCCCCGGTGGGGCTTCAGTCCGGCCCTCCGAGCCCAAGCCAGCGGCTCCCGCAGCGAGTAACCGCGATCCAGGAAACCGGCTTCAAGTAGCATACACATCCGGTGCCGCGCGGTGACGTCACACGCGCGACGCCCGTTCTAAACCAATCATAGGGAGGCCACAGAGGCGGTTGGGAGGTTGCCGGGCAACGACTTGGCATTCTACTGGTGACCGTCCAGCAAGAGCTCAGGGAACCCTCTCAGGTGACAAAGGAGCCCCTGGGAGACCTTAAAGGAAGTTTAAGTTTTAGTTTCCAGAGAAGACACGCTGATTCTCTCTAGACGATGATTCTCTCTGGTTCTCCAGTCCGGCTTCTCTCCATGTATATGCTTATCTTGTAGCCAACACTCGTGCCTTAGGTACTGGCTACCATGAGGTTTTAGCTTCCTGTCATACTAATTCCTTTCCTGCCATTCAGTACGACTCCATATGCTGTTTCATTCAACTGCAGAATGCTTCCCTAAATTTGTAGCTATAAACATATTCTTTTGTCTTTTGGATTACATTCATGAAATTGGTGCTGGAGGAGAATGTGTTCCTTTGCAATTCCATATGGCTATAGAACTACATCCTTATCGACAGAGAGAGACAGAGACAGAGACAGAGAGAGGCTGACAGAGACAGAGACAGAGAAACACTGGGCTGGCTGTGGGCTTTTGAAAAAGCCCAATGGCACACTTTCTCCAACAAGGCCACACCTATTAATCCTAAACCTATCAGAGTTTTACTCCCAGGTGACGAGCATTCAAATATATGAATGGGGCCATTCCTATTTAAAACACCACATATACCCAGGGAGCCTATAGGGCTGGATATATTCCCACGTGAAAGTCACATCTCCTTTTTGCCATGACATAAATATCTGCTTTTACCCTCCTGGTGATGATATTAGCAGGTGAGATCCTGGGGAGATTATTAGTTCATAGTGGGGGGGCAGGGGCGGGAGCTACCACTAATAGGATTTGTGCACATAAAACAGGTGAAAGACTGCTCAGCTTTTCCCCCACGGAAGGATGCTGTGAAATAGCACCATCTATGAACCAAAAAGAAAGTCCTCACCCAACACAGAATATTTTGGCTTGTGCCTTAATTTTAGACTTCTTAGCTTGATAATGAGAAAAAAAATGATGGAAAATAAATCTTCCATTTATAAACTTCCCAGTTTATGACATCTAGTTAATAGCAGGTTGAACAGGCTGAGATATGTATATGACCATTCCAGACCTAAAAATAAAAACCCCAAAGATACTTACTCTAGATTACTGCAACATGTGGCATTCCTGTGCCTTCAAAAATAAGAACTATTAAAATGACCTTCTTGTAGTATGTGGAAACATATTATATGACAAAAAGAATGGCTAGTGGAAGTATGCCATGTTAAATACACAGGATGATATTTTACATATTATCTTGAATCACTTGTGATTTTTCTGGTTGGTTGTGTTAATCATAAGTTAATTGCCAGTCATTTTTAAAGAAAACCTTACAAAAAGCAAGAAAACAAAAAACCTCTTCTCTCTTGTATAAATTAAAGACAAAACAATCATCTCGGCTAACTATTCCCAGGCTCTATCTTTGGGAAATGTGATACAAAATGATTGTCACTCTTCCTTGTCAAAAGCAGTTAGATATCATAATCATAAATAATTAAAAGTAAATTTGTACATATAAACAATTTAGCTATGATAGAGACCTCTCAGGTGGTAGTAAAGGAAGTCAACAGAGACAACCAAATAAAGCCACAGTGTATTTGAAAAGGCTGTAGGAAACTTGATCATTGGTAAGCTAATAAAAGCACACATAGTTTGAAAGCGGGTATGGATGAATCAAGCCATTCCCAGAAGTCACAGGTTATTAAACAAAATTACAGTACCATAAGATTTATCTCACTAAGTGTTGTTGGAAAAGGAGGACTTTGAGGCTCCCAAACAACTCAGGTGATTGTCACTCTTGCTCACGCAGTACTGGTTGGTATTGCCTTATTGCTGAAGATAGCATATGTCTTGGTCACAGGACTTAGCGAAACCAAGCCAAAACTTGGCTAGAGGCTTCCTTCCTGCTGACTATCTTTAATGATGCCACAATGTGTTGTTAGGTGGCCTATTTGGAGTGGGGGTGGGCATTATGCTCAACAATCTTATTTGGCTGTAGATCTTTTGTGCAACACTGCCAACCAGCTGTACAAAATGGGCCTGCTGGTGCTTAAATGAGGGAAAGGGTCCTTCAGAGTGAAGGAGGTTTCCTAGCCTTATGTGGGCTTTAACTCAGGTGTTAGGGGGCTGTTATATTATGATCTCTCAAAGAATTTGTGAGATGAGCTATACTATTTTGTGAATTTGAAGAATGAATTATATAGACCATGTAAGAGTGCGTTGTAGAAGGAAGTTTTTCTTTAGGATTGTTGTTGGGAACTTAGACATAGAGAGCAGGTGTGAATCCTCAAAAATGGTATGTCATGAAGTTGATAGTCTAGAGGCTCTTTATAAGACCTATGGTAGGTATGGTGGTGAGGCATGGGGAGATAAGCTGGTCAGTGTGGGTGGCCTACCCGTGAGGTGTACAGGTGCTTCTCATTCTTAGTCACATCTCCATGCATAACTTTCAGGCAGTGGAGCCTCTTAAGTTTGGAAAAAAGGGGAAAAAAGATATCAAGACATGAGAGCAGCTTCCAGAACCCAGTTCTGATATTTCTGCCCAACATAACTAAGGTCATTTCAGGTTCTGGATAATCCCTAAACTGTTCAACTAGTTTCTATCTCCTGTTTTCCTTCGTGTAATAGTGGCAAATCTGTTATAGGGGCAACTAAACACTTTATATTTGGATTTGATGTCTGTTGCACAAGAGAAAATTAGTGTCTGGTACTATAAACCCTCTCAAAATCCTATGGCTGGGCAGGTCAGAGAACCTAGGGGAGGATGGTGTTGTGGCTTTACTAAATGGGCATGGTGTGCCTCTCAAGATGCATTATAAATAACTATTTATGTCTAAAGAGTAATGTTGCTGTCATTTTGTCTTAAAGAAGTGTCTTTTCATTGTGGTCAGTTGTTGTCAAGGTATGCAGAATAAATGACTGTTGAATGCCCATGCATAAACATGACAGGGCTCAGGGAACACCATGGTAAGGAGAGCAGAAATAATTTAAGAGCTACAAGAAAAAAAAGGGGGGATCTGTGTACTCAGCTGTTTTAAGTTCCTGACATAAAGGACTATAACTTTAAATTGTGAGTCAAATAAACTCCTTTCCTGTATATTGCTTTTGTTGGGGGATTTTTATCACAGCAACAGGAAAGGGAACTAAAACTCATCAAATTTCAAGCATATAGTCCAGTGTTATTAACCAGAGTTGTCATTATTTACCTCTCAGGGTGTAAAATGCTTGCTGCACAAGTATGAAAGTCCAGAGTCCAGATGGTCAGAACCAAAGGAAAGCTAGATATTGTAGCACCCTTCTGCATCTTCAGTGTTTCTATGGCAATATGGTAAAGAGATACTGGAGAATCCGCAGTGGAAAACCCCCAGATGTATACAGTTATAAACAAGAGACACTGTCTCAAACAAAGTGAAAGTTGAGGCCCAGAACTCAAGGCTGCTGGCTGACTTCTTTGTAGGCACCATGACAGAATCTTGCCATACATATGGATATGCAAACATGTACAAGTATAAAAATAAAACTGATTTAAGGTCATAGGAATCCATATAAAAGAGAATAGACCTTCCAGTGGGAAGTCTATGCTCCATAAATATATCTCCTTGTTCAAGCAAACCCCACAGAAAGCACAGAATAATTTTTTGTTAACCCAAATTAAAACATACTGCATATTTAAAGTAAAAAATCTGAATATACAATGAACAGTTTTTGGATTAACTAATTAATAGCTTTCACGGGAAGCAAAATAAACTCATTGCTCACTTAACCAGGCAATTGGATCTCAAAGCTGCTTGAGCAGAAGGCAGTTTATGCTGTTCGTGAAGCAAATTGAATGATTTTATCCCGGAACTGTGTTGTGTTGGCTTTGCTTATCAGTGTAACAAATACCAATACTTAAGAGGTAATTGAATGCACATTTATCCTATTCTGCAGTTTTAGAGATAAAACCTGAGTCTGATAAAGCTACAATAAAAGTGACTGTAAGGCTATGCTTCTTTCTAGAAACTCCACAAGGTTTATTCTGATAATGAAAATTTTGTTTGGCTTGATTGACACCATGAGGCTCCTCTCCTCCTACTAGCTTTAAGCTGAGGTCCTTTGCCAAATTATAGAAACTATTTTACTCTTACATTGCTTCTAATGACTCATGTATTGTATAAGTTCAAGCATTAGTCTAGTTTTTTTTCCTATTTAAAAAAGTACCTGAAGTTTCATAACTGATAAAGGAAAGATACTTATTTTGCTCACAGTCTGAAAGGTCACCCTGTAAAGGGCAACTGTAGCTGTGTCATAGTTTGAGGAGCTACATCATGGCAGCACTGTACACAAAAGGAAGAAATCACACAAACTTGTGCCTCCATCATGGTAGCTAGCCTTATACTCTCCAGAGAGGAGTATAAAAAGCTCTCCATTCTGGAACCTAATCAAATAAGGGAGGAAATATTAAAATAAGAGCTAGAAAATGGAATAACTACAGTACTTAAAGCTGTCAAACTCAACTGCAGTAATCAGATGTTCAGATAGGATGCCAGGAAGGGAATGGGGAATTCAAAAATTGTCTTCCACTAAGCCCCTCCCCTTCTCAGTATTAGCATAATAGGGATCTTTCTTCTTACATTGGAAGTTAGTGGGATTTTTTCATATCCAACCGTATCCAACTCTTGTATAATCTATTATTTATTATATAAATATATGCTGTATATTTATTATGTAAATGTATTCTATAATTATAATATAATATAATTATAAGTACAATATAATTATGTATACTAATAATTATAATTACTATATTTGTCCAATTTCAAAATCCTTAACCATAAATGTATTTTCCAGTTCCTTTTTGTGGACTTGAGAATGATAGAACTGTAGGTCAAAGTGCTTGAGGCTAAGTCCGACAACCTGCATTCA